AGTATAAATATATATTAAATTTCTTTGAATTTAACTTTGATTTTCGTTTTAAGTCCAGAGGTAATTTTAATATTGTATATTATGTTAGTTTTAGCGACTGTTTTATCATATTATGTTTTGCATTACAAATCAGATATTTATTAATATAATAGATAGCCACATAAAAAACATGATCAATAAAATAAATCAAAATAAATGATTTACTTCTATATTTTTAGTTAAGTAGAATAGTTGAACAAATGTGCAAAAAACATGTGGTTTTGTAAATTAATAAAAACCAAAAATAATTTATTTCCTATTTTTTTAGTTAAATAGATAATTTATTATAACTATTTATTGAAAAATGGAGTAGCTATTTTAATAAATCAGTTGAAAAACGTCAGAGCTTATTAATAATTTGACTTAAATTTCAGTTTTCAATGACATCTGAAACAAAAGAAAACAAGTTTTTACTAATATTTTTTGTACAATGAAGGCATTAAAATAATTATATAAAAAGTATTTACTACGCTTTCTTCAATAAATAAAATGTTTACTTAATTTAAAATAAGAATTGTTATTTATTAAAACAAAATTAAATTTATTAAAAGATTTTATTGCGATTTTAAAAATACTTAACAATGACGTTTTTTAACACTAAAACAACATAGTATTACTATAAAATTAATAGAATTTCAATAATTCTATCATTTGAATTGTTTTACTTATCAGTTTTAATCTAAAATTTCGATTTATTAAACTAGTAATGTATTTCTACTTTTTCATTATAATATATCTAGCGAGTAGCTTATCAAACGCATTTTTTTTCACTGTCCCACCATTCGACGAGGTAAAATTATATTATTTAATTTTTAACAAAAGTAAATTGTAAAATTTTTTCTAATTAAAAAATTCATTTTGAGAAATATCAGAATGTTTATTAATAAGTAGATTATTTTTTAATTAGAAATAAGATTTTTACACAACGTAACAAATGTAATTCATTAAATTTAGAATAAAAAAATTTGCTATAGTTTTATTCGAGGATCAATATCTCATGAAAATGAGATATTGAGTTATTAATTCGATAATTAAAATGTAGCTCCCATTTTAATTTAAAACTATTGTTACCACATAAAATAATAAAAATATTAGCGGGTTTTTATTATTTTTTTTTTTTGTTATAATTTAAAATAACAAAATAATAATATATAAATGGTTGTGATTGTAAGATGTATGGGTTCTATCGGGGTTGTGCGGTCCGAGGGTTTAGAACATTGAAGGAAAGTAGTTATAAAAATCAAAAATACAATACCTCTGAGGTGTAGTAAAGTATAGTTTGGTGGACATCTAATAATATACACAATGGCAACGAACGGCAAGCCAATTCATGGATAACATGTAACGTGACTAAGTACAAGACCTTAACCAACTAGTTTAATATAATATTCTACATTATTAATACAATGAATGATCTATTGCTTCGTCGATCTCTACTCAGATTTATTAACTCTAAATAATTGAGATAACATAAATTTACTTACTTCTTTTTTGATGGCTCGTGTAAAGATGATCGATAGTCAAAATGTTAAGTATGAAACTCTTTCTGAAATTGTGCTAATTCGCACACACGAAAATTCTACAATGTCTTTTTTTATATAAATAAATAAAACCTGGACATAAAAAAAATTATATATGAATATCACATTAATACAAACGACAGCACGGGGTCGCGGCTAGTTAAAAGAAATAAACTAGATGAAAGAATTATGAATTCTTATTGAATTCAGAACTCATAAGTGAAGAAAGTCGCTCGTTGGCACGTTCGCTTGTTGGCTTGCTAGCTACTCTCCTCACTCTCATTCTCTCTCATTCAGATGTGTAATAAGACCTAATCCTTCTTTCTATTATTTTTAATTACTCTCATCATGGGATGTTGTCGTCAGTGCTTTTAGTGATATTCAGTTTATTGCAGTAAATTGGACATATAATGATTATTATTAAAGATAAGATTCATAGTATACAATTATCAATTTAGCAAATATATACATATAAAATAAATAGTAAGTGTATAAACAATGTATATGTTATGATAGATAAATTAATTATTTGTTTCTATACAGGTAATATAAAATACAAGTTATAAATGTTTCATTGATAAATGTAAGATGCGTAATGCAAAGCATTAGGCATATTATGATAATTTTTAACAAAAAAGAAGCAATTTTAATTTAAATGGAAATTTTTCCAAATCTGATTCCAGTTTTAAAAAATGGTAACACCAGTGGGGTCGGAACACAGTTTGGACGTTCAATAGTTAGGACAAATATAGATGATTAGTAGTTCTTTTATTTATATGCATAATATACACTGGATTACAATGAATTTTCATCAGAGGCCAGAATATACTTTTCTAAACCCATTTTTCACCGATTTAAAATTTACAATTAGATTTTTTCCATCGCCACTTTTTGAGATTATTACTAATTAGTAAAAAACGATTATTTACATGTATATATACATATATAAATAAAAACAAATATAATTATTTGTAAGTTTATGTGAAAAGGTCAATATAATATTAAAATCACTACTTTTTTGCATTTTTTTCATAATTAATAATTCCAATAGAAGTCATAGTAATCATTTCAAAGTAACTTTTGGTGTTGAAAAAGATTTTACAATTGAGTTATTCAGAACTTAATTAATTTTAATGATATACTTTTACTAAAAAAACCATCAAAAAGTTGTTAAAAAAATCTACTCCTATAAGCGTATTATAAAAATTGACTGTAATTGTAAAATTCATTGGTAAATTCAGGTGAAACTAAAAATAACTTTTTTTGAAATGGTACATGTTACCAAAAATTTTGGATTATAGACTGTTAGTTATATACAAATAGAGTTAAAAAATTAATAAATTACAAAGAAAAATGATTTAATGTTGTAGTCGAATCCTATTAGTATATCAAATCAAATTCAACAATAAATACTTTAAAAATATTAAATATGAATTATTTTAATTGCTTGTATAGAGAAAGCTGGTTAAGCAAATTTTTATTTGATAAATGGAAATTTTTTCAATTTTTGAGGATAATATTATTAATTTGATACTATCTGTAATCATTTGACATATTATTGAAAATATTGTTCAAATTAGAGCTTAAAAAAATGAATGACAGATACAAAAAAAAAGAAAAACTTAGTAAAATAATTTTAAATTTATTTATATAATGTTTATGAAAATCAGTCAACTCTCCTTGTAAGGTATTTTAAAATAAAATAAAATACAAAAGCAAGAATTTCAATACAAAAATAGCATATTTTTGAATATGGTAGCCATTTTCACCATGAATACAAACTTAAGTTCAACAATATTTTTTATATTACATAAGCTTTAATTTATTATTTGTACAAAAAAGTCAGTGTTTCCGTAACACTTTCAAAAGTTAAGTTGAAAAAATTAATTTTTTCTTGAAAAGTTATCATTTTGAATCCCCCTGTAGGCATGTGAAAAGTCAGATTTACAAAAAAAAATATACAAAATGATAGGTAAATACCTAATATATCTATATATAAAAAAATTGTTTCTATTTATCTATTTTTCAAAAGTAATGGCATTTTTGAGAAAAAAAAATTAAAAAATTGCTAATTTTTGAAATTTTTGAAAAACGTATTACTTGAAATTGCCATAACTTCTTTAAAAATGAATAAATCAATATAGTTACTTTTATAGATGCTTGATGTCATTACCTATCATATGGTATTTTTTTTTTTATAAATCTGACATTTTACCTGCACACAGGATAGGTTTTTTAAAAAAAAGTTTGTTTAATGAAAGATGTATATAAATACTACATCTCATGAAAAAATTATATTGTAATATATAATTATATATATTACATTTTTTAAAAAGTTATAGAATTTTAAAGTTAAAAATCTAAAATATAAAATGGAGAATTTTAACACAAAAATAGCATTCGGTAGCCATTTTCATCGTGAAGACAAAATAAAATCCTAAATTTTTTTTTTCCATAATAAATGACATTACATTAGCTCTAAGTTAAGATATATATAAATTTTAGATTTTTCGGTACACTTTCAAAAGTTAATTTGATAACGTTAATTTTTTGTGAAAAAGTTGTCATTTTAAATCCCCTCCGTGGGCAGGTAAAGGGTCAGATTTATAAAAAAAATTTACCAAATGATAAGTAAAAACATCAAACATCTAAAACAAAAAAATTATATTGATTTATTCATTTTTAAGAAAATTATTGCGGTTTTAAGTAAAAAAATTGAAAAAATTTCGAAAATTAGCGATTTTAAAATTTGTAAATTTTTTCGTTTTTTGGAGCATAATGCTTTTAACTAGATACGATTTATGATCTTTTGACGTAATATTGAAAGAAATCGGTTCGGTGAGAGTTGAGAAAAAGTGGTAACAGTAAAAAAAACACATCATAGTAAAACCAAAACCTTTTCAGCTTCGCATCGATGTTAAAAGTAAAAAATTATAATTTTTTGAGGATTTCCCCCATTTACGGATATGAGATAAATTTTTTTCTATTGCTGCGGTTTATATCTTTGTCTAAATGTAATTTGTGAAAAGGAAGTGCCCCATTAATGCTCCCCTCATTTACAAAAAAATTATAATATATAAGATTTAATTGTTAATTATAAATATTTTCATTTCTTATTTTTTTTTTTATATTTCCAATAAAAATTACAATAAAATTATTGAATATTAATATCATACTATATTTTATTACTATAATAATTAATATTTATGTAATTAATAAATCATAAAAGTTTTTATCAAGATACGTTTAAGGAAATAATAGTTGATTTCCTTTTGGGATAATCAGACAATTCCTTCTAAAAATTTAACACAATTTACAAATTTGCATTGATGCGTTTTATATGATAAAGATTTTAATGAGTGTTTATCACTGTTTTATCTAAAAAGTTAAATTCATTTTAATATTAAATCTAAATTCTCATAAATAAATTATTTAATTTAGAACTCAAAATTGAATGATACATGTGAGACTGAATTAAAACATATTTTTCAAACGAATAAACACAATAATGAAGGTATCGACTTTTCTAGTTTTAAATACCTTTTGCTTAATTTTAAACATTTACACAAGTATAATGATAATGAAATTGAACGTTTATTCACCAATGAAGTTGAAAGTAAGTAAAAATCTAATTATGAAAATAAGATTACATTTATTTTCAACAAGTACTATTATAACTGATAAATTTAATATATTTGCATATCTTTTAGTTGTATTGTTCAAAGTAATAGGTACAATAACATTTTGTTTTGATACAATGATTAAAGTGGGGAAAATTAGAATGGGGGACTATAGTTCCTAAAAAATGAGGAGCGTTCCTGAGCAACGACGAATTGTCTGGCCTCAAAGGCTAAATATTATATTGATCATAATAAGCAAATATACTTAATTAATAAAAAAAAATATCTCAATGAAGGAATACATTAGAACCTACTAATAATAATTTTTATTATATCGTTAAAAATCAACTAGAAATTAATATTATATAAAATATTATAAAGTCAGAATCAAAGCTTTAATTTATTATGGAAATAAATGCAAAATAGTTTTTTTTATTTTTAAATATTTTTACTATAACAGAATTAAGTTGAGATAAAAATATTAACAGTAACCAATTTAGGTAGGTATCTACATATAAAAATATGAAATGTCAAATATAGTAATATAGTTTATAAAATATTCAACAAACTAAAAATATATCAACACCATAGTAGGTTATATTAATATAACAAATGTTTATATCACCTTAAATTTTTATATCTATCACTTTGTAAACCTTAATATAATAAATTTGTAAGTATCATGTATAGTCATAAATTAATTACATGGTTTCTTAAGCTTAAATTAAAGAATTAATTAATTAAACTTTTGAATAATACAAAAACAAACAAATCACAAAAATTATATCATGGTCGGTCTTTCTCCAAATACTTATATTACTATGGCCGTATTATAAAATTCTTTTCATTTCATAATTTAATTTCTTCTACAACTATTTTCTTTTTAACGTTTTTAAAATTTGATTATTTGAATATAATTTCTTATATTTCTTTAGATTTGGAGAAAGCCTTTGATAGAGTACCGAAAGAGGTTTTAAAGGAGGCATTAATGAGAATTGTAGGCCCGAAAAGAAATATTAATATAAGAGAAGATATGTATAATGGCACTTATACTAGGTTAAAAAACGTAGAGGAGTAACAGAAGGTTTTCGGGTAAGAGTAGGAGTGCACCAAGGTTCTGGTTTAAGCCCTTACTTATTCTCTATAGTGATGGATGAAATTACTAGAGAAATACAATGAGAGGTGCCGTGGTGCATGTTGTTTGCTGACGATATAGTGTTTATAAGAGAAAATAGGGAGGATATTAATCAATGACTAGAGTTATGGAGATCAGCTCTTGAAGAAAAGGGTTTAAGAATAAGTAAACGTAAGACAGAGTTTATAGATTACGAGTTTGACAAAGGAGAACACTAGGTAGGTGAAATGAGAAAGATCAGTGACAATAGACATGATTGGAGAGGTGGAATGCTTTAAGTATTTAGGGTCAGTTATTCAAAAAAGCGGAGGTTTTAACGAGGATGTAAGACACAGAATTAAGTGCGGGTGGTTGAAGTGAAAAGAAGCGTCTGGCGTCTTATCCGATAAAAGAATTCCCATAAGGCTGGAAGGTAAATTCTACAAAACTGTAGTGAGACCAGCTATGATGTATGGTTCAGAGCGTTGGGCAGTTGATAAGAAAGTAGAGCAGAGAATGAGTGTAGCAGAGATGAGAATGCTTGGATGGATGAGTGCTGTGACTAGAGAAGATAGAATAAGAAATGAGCATATAAGAGCATATAAGGTGCTTCAAGTATTTATATTACTATGGTCCCATCATAAAATTTTTTATTTTTTTTTTCATTTTAAGAGTTTTGAAATTTTGATTATTCGAATAAATTTCTTATATTTACGATTTCCACTCTTCAGTGCTAAAAATTAGAGCGTCCCTCCATTATTTTTGGATTCGACTTAAAAGGGAAGGCTATATTGTACTCGAAATAAGAAGAGGAACTCCGTCCTCCCAAACTTTAACCACTGATTTGAGATTAAAATATGAGATTATATCTCGCAATGCTTACGGTTCAAAGCTGATAAATACATGTAATCATTATTTATGAATATTAAGAATTAATTTGTTACAATCAATACAATTTTATTGTAATATTTATATTTTTCTATAAAATTCGCGTTGAGGTTCTGCGTTTTATTTAAAATAAAAAAGTGAATAAAAAAAATTGTGTTTTGTATAGTTCTAATTCACAGTTCATTTAAAACATTAAAATTTGTTTTGCGTGGTTATGTCGCGTACGCTTCTCACTTAATAATTAAAGATGTAAAAAAACTCGCATAACAACCCGTCGTTATATTATATCATTTACAATAAATACAATCTTAATCTAAGTTTCCATAATACACAAAAACCAAAACAAATTGTTATGATTTGTTTTGTTTTTAATATAATAAGATAAGTAAAATTAAGTGCTTTTGTAACGCATGTAAAACTTATAATACACATGATTCTAGATGTTATTATTCTAATTTAATTATTGTGTTTATTTTGGCACAATTACAATTTTAACATATTTTTGTCATTTTAGATTTGTTATTGAATAGGAGGAGGACACCTTTAATCCTTAAAATACTTCTTATTTGTAGTGTAAAATATTAATAAAAAAATATATATAACTACACATGAAAAGTACTTTCGTAAATATAATTATAATTTATTAATACGACAATTAAAACATCATTCGATTAAACAGACAAAACAACCGATCACCTAACGCTCCGGCCCAGCACGGCGGAGAGTCAAGCACACACTGACTTAACTATCGATTTATTATACATTATTATTGCTATATTGACAATTACCAAGAATACTACATATTTAATAATTACTAAAATATTTAAATTTAATATTTTTGTATATTGATAAATTGACAGAGTTAATTGTTGGGTAGAGTGTGGCAATAGTTGATACCCGTCCTCATGCATTTTGTGGCGCTCGTGTATGACCGGTTCGGAGGTGTTCGTGCCACGTTCGGCCATCGTTCCTTCCTCAGCGAGCGTCATAGTTTGTTTTGTACGTTCATAATACAAACGTCTCACACCTCTTGTAATCGGCATCCGTACAATTATTATTCGCTCTCCTCATAGTCTTTTTGAATTTGTATATTATTAGCTTACGTTCATTATAAGTTACTTTACCTTTCTCTCTGATCTCTTTAAGCCATCAAGTCATCAGATAAGTTATTAATTTATTTTCATTTTGATATTGTAATAATTCAAAAATAACAAAGGTGTTCGGGTATTTTTGACCAAGGTTGGATATTTGGGGATTTGATCAATTGGTGAGCAACGAGGTTCTATCGGGGTTGTAGAGTCCGAGGGTTTAGAACAATAAAGACAAGTAGATATAAAAAGTAATAATTATGGTTAATCTTATAACCTGTAATAATATACTGAGGAAACGAAGATAAGGTATAAGGTCCGAACTAGTTAATAATAATTAATTGAAGTTTAAAGATTAATATAAATATTTGATCTATTGCTTTATCGTTCTATACTCTGATTATTAATTCTAAATAATTGAGTTATAAGATAATATAAGTATTGACTTTTATTGATTTGGAGTCTTGCCTGAAGATTTTTCTTTATTCTTATAATAACTTTTAACAATATCGGGTAATAACAAAATAATACGAACTCAAATGTTTAGTTCATAAATTAACACGTAAAAATTTTGACAATGATGATTACGAACTTAACGTATCGATGTCTAGAGCGCGATTGGAACAGCTCAATGAATATCTGGAGGCAGACTCTCTCAAGCCCTCAGCACTCAGCCCTGACTGAGAAGGATTACTCGCCTTTTATAGTATTTTTTGATCCCTGAACAATCATCATTGTGTCATTTTTGTAATTTTATAGTTTACTGTTAAGTAAGCATAAAATATGAAATATATAAATTAATACACATGGATAATATACAAATCATTTTTATACAATGTTAATATAGTTTGTTTTTACATTCTAGACTAAGGTTAACAAAGTGTGTTTTTTTTATTAAGATAAGAGTAAAAAGAGCTAACAAGTATAATTTATAATTGTCCTAAAGAGAGATTTTTAAAGGTGACTAATAATTGACTCATGACTGAATCGTGTATAATATAAGATAATTAAACGCAGCATGCGTTTGTTAAATATTAATCTAAGTTATTTATTTATAATAACAATTATGTTATTTTAAGCATATGAATATAATTTATAAATAAAAGTGTTAATAGTCTTAAATGAAAAACCATTATTGTGGACATAAACAGAGTAGCCCACTGTTATTTCATATTATTATAGTGACGAGTGTATTACGACAATATTGTACCATATCATAAGAGTCATCTTGATTTAGTAAGTAAATTATCCCCCATTTTCCCTGTAATTTTAAGAGCTTTATTATTCGCAGAACTATAATATATAGATTCGTATTTTGCATATTCATAAGAAGGTGTACCTATTTTTTCTTACCCCCTCTTATTTCCTTATGTTTTGGTTTTCATCAAATAAACAACAGCAATTTAATATAGATTAAATTTATATCAATTTTATGAAATTTGGTGACCCCATCACTGTGATCTCCTCTTGTAAATGATGGTAAAAATATTATAGTAGCATCAGGATAACTACAGTATGAGATCACAGACCCAGGTAGGGACCTAACTATGCTCTTTAATTATTGCAAAAATGAAAAATTAGAACTCATCCTAGGTATGGATGCATATGCTCACTACACTATTTGGGAAAGCAGTAACATCAACCAAAGAGGAGAGGTAATAATGGATCTATTACTGGCGACTACAGACCTCAGTATACTTTATGGTCCACCCTTATGCAATGATTGGTATAATGTATAAACAATTAGGTGGGTAAACCGAATCAAGACAATTCGGTATGAGGTGGGCACAATGGACCAACAGGTCGGAGTCTAACACCTCGATAATTAATATAACTAAAATTAGTACACGAATGATTACAAATACAAGTAGCTAATTGATTTTTTATGACATCGATATTCACAGGAATACAGCATTTCTTATCAATGATAGTAAGGCACATTGTTGTGAGTTTACAGAAACACTAACTGGCAATTTCAGTGGCGGCTCGTGGCTTGGACGACGGGACGATCGCACTCCCCACTAAAATTAATTAAAAGAAGAAAATTAATTGTATATTCTTAATTGTACATTATTATTAAAAATGCAAATTTTAAATAGTAAAATAGTTATAATACATTTGTCATGTGCGAAAATTAAACTTATTTTTCTCAGAATATGCGATTACGCATACACACACGAGCAGTATTCGAACGGCCGGCAGCGTCGTCCATAAAGTAAAATATTTTAGTATATTACTGAATTGGGTAATTTATTTTTATAATTAACTGTTCATCGTTATCGGTTGCAATAATAGTATAGTTACTAATATTATTATTTTCATTTCTACTTTCTACTGAGACCTTTAAAATAATATGTGTATTGTGTTTTATTTTATTATATTTAATCATTTTTAATAGCTATGACAAGCAGTATTATGTTTAAAATCGCACCCCCGCCATCATCACCTATAAATCACAAATGATTGATGGACATAATTAATAATAAACAATCCGTGACATCACGTCATATAAAACCAATTAGCTACCTGTATTCGTATTCTTTGTGTATTATAGATGTATATTGACTAAAAGTTTGAAACTTTATATGTTTATATCTAATAAATCAATAAAGTATTATTAAAAATTCAAATGCTATTTAATATTAAATTCGAAATATCTGTTCCCATTTAAAAATCAAAGTTAACACTCTTATAAGGTATAAGAGATGAACTTAAAAAGTTTCACATAGTTAATAATTTAAGAATAATATGTAACTAAATTTAAAAAAAAATGTTAAAATTATATTTATTCTATAAGTTATTGAATGGGTTATAATAATGAAATCACTCTGTATTTAAAATTTAATCAATATAATAATTTAAACATCTTAGAAAGTATTATAAGATTTTCAAATAATAAAAAAAACTATTTCTGGTATAAACTATTAGTTATAATATTATAATAAATTAACTATATTGAGTGATATTTAAATGTCGGTCAGTGATTATTACTTATAAATTTATTGATATTACCACCCTACTTTTAAATAAAAATTAATTGATAAAACATCATTTTTACTTCAAAAGTAAACGGATTAATGGACGAGAAACAATTTTTAAAACAAGTGATAAATGTTGTAAAAAGAATTGAGACTACAATAGAAAATTTCTATAAAGCATTTCTCATCCATAATAAGATGACTATAACAGAATTAATAAGCGCTTTAATGTTTGTTGACTGTCAAATCACGAATGAAAGAGCTATTCAATTAATAAATATTGAAAAAACAGACCCACAAAATATCAGCCGTGAAGGTAATATAAATAATACATAACATTTTTTAGACTTTTCGACTTCATACAATCCATCTAAGGACAATTTGATACATTTCAAAATGTTTTCATAAATCCAAGGTTGATTGTTAATCTGACGTCTGGATAGCGAATCTTAATTTAATGAATTTATTAATAGTCAATCAAATGGAACCATTTGCAATAGATTCCCATATGCCATCTAGTGTTATTAAATTTCACTTTTACGACTTGATCTTATTACCACTTAATTTGTAATAAGAATTTCTAATTTCACTTCATATAAAATTAATTTTTACTAAATAAAATTATACGTATTTTTTTTATTTAAGTAACTTTTAAAATAAAAAAATCCATCTTATATACATGACATATTAGTAAAATAACTTTTGATTCGTTAACCAGAAAAGCAAAGTCATGACTAAAATATTTTAAAAATGTCTTACAAAAAAAAAAAGAAAACTCATATATACTCTTATTTTTATTATTATCTATAATCGTTATAAATTATAGAGATTATCGAAAAAGTTATAATTGATAAAAAGTTATTTTATGAAGTTGATTTATTTCAATATTAAATAAAAAACTGACATCTAGATACTTTTAACGAATTAATAATATTTTTGTTTATTTTTTTTTTTAGCATTCAGAAACATATACGCGAAATTATATAACGAATATCTTCATGAAAGACAAGATACAGAAACATTAATGAAATCTTTTCCATTATATGAATCATTAGATCCAAGGTGAAGCTGAGAAGGTATTAATTTTAATATGGTATGTTTTTTTCTCTTTTATGTCTGTCACCAATTTTTCTCAACATTCACCAGACCGATTTCTTTCAACTATAAATCAAAAAATCACAAATCGAATCTAATTGAAGGCATTGTTCTTAAAAATTGAAAAAAAATTCCCTTGTTCCCTAGAAAAATGAGGAAATCCCCCAAAAAATTACTATTTTTTAAATCGGTAAATCTTCGACATATTTTATACTTTATTTTTTTAAAACTGTTATAACTTGTTGAAAAATAAACAAATTTAAATAGTTTTTTTTCAATAAATACCTTAGGTATATACTTATTATTTGATATATTTTTGTGAACATTTGACCCTTTACCTGCCCTCAGAGGCGGATTCAAAGTAACAACTTATCCTAAAATAACAATTTATTCAATTTAACTTATGAAAATGATCCGGAAATACTGCATCCGTTAAAAATATGTTAAATTAAAGCTTATTTTACGTAATATTAGTTAAAATATATATATATATATATATATGATGACCTACCTTCTATGTGCAAATGACCGTCAAAATTGAACAAAAATAGAAGATAATTTTGCTTTTGGAATAATCCACTACTTTATAAAAAATTTAACTTTATCTATAAATTGACATCGGAGCATTTTTTATGACAGAGATTTTAATCACTGTCATATATCATCTACACTTAAAAAATTTTTGTTTCTTTTCCTCTATGGTTAAACTAATCAATTAAAATATGTGAATTATTGTTAAATTTGTATTGATAATAAATTGAATTAGTTTGTAAGATACTAGATTTTATACTACATATTATTTTTCCGGAAGTATCCAAGAATACAGATAAATTCTTTATTTGTTTATATACAATTGGTATTAAATATAGATTATTAATTTTTCATTGATTAATGTTATTAAGATGCGTAATGCAAAGCATTTAGCGTATTACGACATACAATAGATAACCGTATGACTTTGAACCGGTAACAATAATCGGTTAAAACTAAATCTAATCTGATAATATAGAAAAAACAGTGTTACCTATTAAAAATTGAAAGTTGATACTGATTAAAAGTATAAGGAATGATCATAAAAATGTAATTTTACTTACTGAGCAGCCCAAGATAGAAACATAATATTTAATAATAATAAATAAATAAAGTTTAAAAAAACTTAAAAAACACGTTTTTAAAGCACATCGAACTAACTAAAAAGTTAAAAATAATTTTTAAAATAAGCTTAAAACAATAATGAACGAAAAATACTAGTATTATTGTGATAAAAACGTCAGGCGCTCAATATACGAAAAATATGGCACAAAGCACTCACGCTTTTATCACAATAATACTATTATTTTTCGTTCATTATTGTTTTAAGCTTATTTTAAAAATTATTTTTAAATTTTTAGTTCAATGTGCTTTAAAAGCGATTTTTCTAGTTTTTTTAACTATATTTATTTTTCACTTTTTAAATATATGTTATGATAGTAGTTATTATAAATATCATGGTTGTAACGGGTAACGAGAATCCAGGGTTCAATTCCGGGGAGGGAGTCTGAGAAACGGCTACCACATCCAAGGAAAGCAGCAGGCGCGTAAATTACCCACTCTCGGAACGTGGAGGTAGTGTCGAAAAATGACGATACGGGAATCATTTCCCGTAATCGGAATGAATACACACTATATCTCTTAATGAGAATAAAGCGTGTTAATATATATTTTTAATAGTAATTAGAATATATATATATATATATACATGTAAAGCGACTTAAATACGTAAAAGTATAATGCACGAGGTATAGCTGTATTTTGTGGGCGGGGGAACGTTATACCTAAGGTATAAACGGCGGCAGCGCGCGGTACGAATATATAAATATATATACGTAAGGCGCATTACACGAGGGCGGTATTGGTCGGTCAAAATAAAAAATTTGTTTATATGTATACATAATTGATGACAGGCACGCGTGTACGAGTACGAAAACCAAAAATATAAAATTATACAAGATTAGTGTTGCCGGCGATTGGTGAGCGGGGTGTGGTGAATGCGTTACGACGTCTAGTCTAGACGACGAGATACGCGAGAATAATAACGAGTGCCGCGTAGAAAGTTACAAACACACATCACACAACAAACATACATGTGAAACTAATATAAGCGTGTTAAAAAGAGATAACTATTTTATTTTCAGAGATAATTTCTGAGGCATTGTTAATTATTCACACTGTATATATAAAAAAAATCACAAAAAATATATATATAATATGACAGGGGGTATTGTAACATGCTTGCCATGTTGAGGGAACTAAAAAAAAGAGGGAAACCTATAAAAAAATTAATAAACAATTCGCCGCCACACGTGCCTCACGTCATGGCACGGCATGCTAACAAAAAAATCTGGATCAAAATATTAACAAAATATACATTACTAGCCCTGAAGGGCTCAGTAACTAAGTCACAATGGGCAAAATGTTAATGATTGTTGTTAGTAGCCGGCGGCCTGGACCGGTTCACGCCGCCCGTCGGCCACTCCAGATGGCGTGACCTGTCGGACGTAAAGGGAAAGCGCCGCGATCGCCATCCAGTGGTAAAGCTGGAGTCGCGATGCGACCGCGATAAACACCTTATTGTCATTATTTGAATGATAAACGCCGTCGCAGCACACATTCGACTCAACCAAACTTCATTTTGTGAAGAGGTACCTTTTGTCACATTACAAGTTCACTAAGAATTGTAATAATTTTCAAGATCAGTGAACCACCATGGAAATAGTGCACTATTGCCATATTTAAATATAGACAATTGTTATTAACAATTTTAAAATCTTTCAATTCTATTAACTCCGATGATTGAAGTCAGGTACTTTCATAAAATGAACTCTAAATGTGACAATGACACGAATTAATACTAATATGTGATATTCGAGCTGTACGAAAAATAGATCAAGTGAGTAAAACTTAACATAGTTAATACATGTTAAAGTATGGATTACAAGACTATTAAGAACGATAACTACTTCTAACGAATACCAATCTTCTCAAAATGCATCAAAATGAAACATACTGACACTGAAGTGAAAAGAAGCGTCTGGCGTCTTATCCGATAAAAGAATTCCCATAAGGCTGGAAGGTAAATTCTACAAAACTGTAGTGAGACCAGCTATGATGTATGGTTCAGAGCGTTGGGCAGTTGATAAGAAAGTAGAGCAAAGAATGAGTGTAGCAAAGATGAGAATGCTTGGATGGATGAGTGCTGTGACTAGAGAAGATAGAATAAGAAATGAGCATATAAGAGTAAGTATAGGTGTAGGCTTTGCTTCAAGTATTTATATTACTATGGTCCCATCATAAAATTTTTTATTTTTTTTTTCATTTTAAGAGTTTTGAAATTTTGATTATTCGAATAAATTTCTTATATTTACGATTTCCACTCTTCAGTGCTAAAAATTAGAGCGTCCCTCCATTATTTTTGGATTCGACTTAAAAGTGAAGGCTATATTGTACTCGAAATAAGAAGGGGAACTCCGTCCTCCCAAACTTTAACCACTGATTTGAGATTGAAATATGAGATTATATCTCGCAATGCTTACGGTTCAAAGCTGATAAATACATGTAATCATTATTTATGAATATTAAGAATTAATTTGTTACAATCAATACAATTTTATTGTAATATTTATATTTTTCTATAAAATTCGCGTTGAGGTTCTGCGTTTTATTTAAAATAAAAAAGTGAATAAAAAAAATTGTGTTTTGTATAGTTCTAATTCACAGTTCATTTAAAACATTAAAATTTGTTTTGCGTGGTTATGTCGCGTACGCTTCTCACTTAATAATTAAAGATGTAAAAAAACTCGCATAACAACCCGTCGTTATATTATATCATTTACAATAAATACAATCTTAATCTAAGTTTCCATAATACACAAAAACCAAAACAAATTGTTATGATTTGTTTTGTTTTTAATATAATAAGATAAGTAAAATTAAGTGCTTTTGTAACGCATTACTTTTTAAGTTCATTCCTTATGCCTTGGAAGGGGGTCAACTTTGTTTTTTTAAATGGTAACACATATTTTTAATATAATAAAATGTTTGAGTTTTTAATTTGAAAGTAAATGGCATTTGAATTTTTAATATAACTTTATTAGCTTATTAGATATAAACATTTAAAGTTTCAAAATTTTGAGTTAATATACATGTATAATACACATGGGATTGTAAATACAGGTAGTTAATTGGATTTTTATGACATTGCTGTCTCAGTCACGGATTGTTTATTATCAATTATGATTATCAATAGATATACTTTCTGTATTGTCAGTTAGTGTATTTATAAACTCATAACAATGTGCCTTACTACAATTGATAATAACAATGCTGTGTACCTGCTAATATCGATGTTATAAAAAACCAATTAGCTACCTGTATTTGTAATCCCTTGTGTATTATACCTGTATATTAATTCAAAAATTTGAAACTTTAAATGATTATATCTAATAAACGAATTAAGTTATATTAAAAATTCAAATGCCATTTACTATTAAATTAAAAACTCAAACATTTTATTAAATTAAAAATATGTGTTACCATTTAAAAAAACAAAGTTGACCCCCTTCCAAGGCATAAGGGATGAACTTAAAAAGTATTACATAGTTAAAAATTCAAGAATAATGTGTAACTAAAGATAATAAAAAAAAAAAATGTTTAAATTATTATTATTCTGCAAGTAATTGAGTGGGTTATGATAAAAAAATCACCCTGTATACTCATTCTACAAAGTCAACTAAAGTTACATCATTTGATTGTAATTATAAAAAAATTTAGAGTGTATAGAATCTCCTACATATAATAATACAGTCATAGATTTTGTGTAATGATTTCGCATTATTTATAATTAAACGCTTTATTCTCAAACGGTCATATTTACTATCGATCTCGTAGTGTACAACTTGTGAAATACAGTGTGAACTCATAATCAACAGTGGATTGTTTAAAATAAGTATCACATTACGTGGGATACGAGGTAAGTACAAATTTAAATTCCCGCTTTCAAATTATATATACTCTACTGCGTAATAAACCATTAAGATAGGTCATAAAGTCTTGTAGGATAATTGATTTCATTCATTCAATATTGTTCAGCCCCGAGATCAGTTCATTATTTTTGTCACAACGTTTGTGTACATTTTTATTTATTTGATCATTAACCTCATGTATTTAAACTCTGTTTATTCACCCCTTTAAATTCTTCTTTATTCATATCATTATATTCTTTGCACCCTTACATATCTTACCACATTTAAACATGTGTTACTCTGCCATTTATTATCTTATTTAATAATTTTTATTATTATTCGGCCATACATACGCTATATTATATCTTTAGTCTGACTAAGAATCAACTCTTACATTTTCTTTTGGTACAATATAAGCATTCACACCTTCAATAATAAAATCCACATCACCACCATTTTTTATTCTCCATTATTCATTTCCCTTAAACCTACATATTATTATTGCCTATATCATACCATTCGTTCCCAATAGCTACCGCCTATTGTATTTCATCATCTCATATTTAAATATCTCATAATTTAAATTATTTTTTTCTTTTCTTTTTGGTTTATTATATAAGAGGGAGTATAGGTGTAGCGTAAATC